TAACAAGCGTCTACCCATTTGCCCTTGCGTTTTAAGCGTGTGTTGTTATCGTCGATTGGGACTCAATTCCCACGCGTGCGCAGGTGACGATCCTCCCGCTTTAAAAAAAATATTCTTAAATGTCATTTGTTGTGCTCAGTGAGTATGGTTCTGTTACTCCGATTTGGGCGAACAATGGCCGAATAGCATACATTTTGTATTTACAAACATATCGATACAAAATTGAACAGCGGACAACAAGTTATTCCAACACATTTATCAAATATTATTCGTTTTCGAAATTCGCAACCAAACGGACGTGTATTTAAAAAAAACAAGGTGATACAAACTACATGTAATGCTGATTAGTGTTTGTGTCCCTGTATGTTATAAAGTCGGGAGGTCAAAGGGTGTATTAAAAAAATAATAACAATTAATTATTATTCTGTCATCAGCCCAAGAAGAATGCGACTTTAATTACACGTCCTCAGCTGGATCATTTACATCACCGAAGTACCCGGATGACTACCCACCCGATGCCGATTGTACATACATATTCCAAATCCCGGATGCTATTAATATTCGATTCACTTTAAATTATTTTGTAACCGAATACAAAATCGATATTTTGGAATATGGATCGGGAATCGTGGTAGGTGAAAACAAGATTGGTGAGATCCACGGATCTCAATTCGAGCCTGCACACGAAGACGACGTCCCTCAACCGGACGAACCGATTGATATCGAAGGGAACGAAGCGTGGTTTCACTTTACTTCAGATTATAACATAGAGTACAGTGGTTTCCACATAACATATAGAGCTAACTGTAAGTTTTTATTGAGTTTCTTTTTTTTTCTTCTTCAAAGAATGCACAAAATTCTGTGTTTGTATAACGCATCGTTACTGCATACATAAATCATCTCTACCATGTCCGTAACTAAATGTTGGGAGACTTTCAATTTTTCGAACATCTCAGACGGTAATTAAACACCGTGGGCACGTACCTAGGGTTACATTATTATTATTATTATTATTATTATTATTATTATTATTATTATTATTATTATTATTATTATTATTATTATTATTATTATTATTATTATTATTATTATCAACTTATAATGATATTTTGTTCATCAACATTACAGTCGAGTGCCCTGCCGACTGGGATGAGAGTGACATTGACAATGAATGCTACAAATACGTGGATCGTCCATTGTCATGGAGGGACGCCAGACGAGAATGTTTCAATATCGACAATTCTAGTGACTTGGTCGTGGTACTAAACGAACAGGAAAATGAATGGTTGAGGGAAAAATATGACGCCACATTGTCATGGTGGATGGGTAATCGTCTCTCTATATTTGTTGCCAATTATTGGGATTAGTGTTATTTTTTTGGACTCCGGTACTCGAGTAAATGAATCATTTCATTTGATGTTGCGGTCGCGGACGTTTGTATTTTTCTATTTTTATTTATCAAATGAAGCTTAGTTGTCTTGTTAAAATGTTGTGTTTCACAAATTTGTTTGTCATAAATAAGATTATTATTATTGACTCATTGTTGTTCATGAAGCTAGAAATGTTCAATCCATATTTAGGCTTATCATACGCATACGGTGTTACAATGTACTGTCAGGTGCTACTTTTGAGGTGCGTGACTCTGAATCTTGCCTGAATGACCTGAACGCCCTCTACGGTGACAACGAGCCCAACTTTGTAAGGCAGATCAAATGACAGTGTACTCTGACATCAATGTTCCTTCACCGCGGGATGCATTGATGAAAAATATGCATTTGTACCTTCCTATAGGATATTCTGACAGATCAACGGAAGGGTTGTGGAGATGGGTTGATTGTTCCTATCCCACTGATTGGCAGAAGGACAACTGGCATCAGGATGAACCAGATGGCGAAGAAGAGGACTGTGGTATGATGGTACTCGACGGGGAATATGCAGATGAAATCTGTAGTAGTCGACATACGTTTGTATGTCACCTTCATCCAAAAGGTATGTCAGTGTTATTTAACGTATTAATTAAAGAGACTTAACTTTGAATTCGATAACCTTGAGTATTTGAATAATGACCCGTACGCATGCGCTTCGAATTCCCCGTACGTATAATAAAGTCCAGGGGAACGAATTAATCAGGTTGCCAAATTATCGAGTTCAATACCACTCATCCAGGTGAACTCAACTGACCGTCACTCAAACAGTTGACAAATGACGGATTAGCCATAAGATGATTTGTTTCACACTATGTCATATAAGAACATTGCGATCGCCAATGAAACTTTCAAGACTATATACGGAATTGCGAAAACTAAATTTCTTCACCAAGTCAAACAAGACAGTCATTTAACCCTATATATTTTCAAAACATACCTTATTGCGTTTTTGTTTCAAATGTGTATGCGCCGGGGATACCCTGTGTCATTGTATGAATCAAGTGCATTGTAATTGTCAAGTGCATGTTTATCAAATAACGTGGACACCCATGTATGGAGATAAATGTACTAGAAGGTCCAGAAGTGACAATCGTGAAGTATGATCAGTGAGATATATCGATATTACTATCATTCACTATTATTTCCCTGCATAGCGTATACACCTGAAGATATGAATCCCGAGAACGTGGAGGCGGTTGGCATAGCAACGGATATGGTTCATGTGACCTGGTACACGTCGTTTTTCAACTGTGAAGTGATGGGGTACCACGTAAAATATCGAGTATTTGGTCGGATAGGAAGCTTCGATGTCTTCGACGCCCCCGGTGGTGAAACGGAAGACGTCATACTGACTCACTTAGAGTCGTCCACATGGTATGAAGTGTACGTTGCGGCGTATACAAGCTACGGAGAGCTGGACAATGTTGGACCCGAGTATGCGCTAACTCATCGAGGTATCGTGTTTGTGTCTTGTTTATCTAAAACTGTGAAATATTCGCAATTATCGATATTCCTATTATTCATAACTAGCTATAATCTGACTAAGTGAAACCGTTTTGTTTCTAGTATACAAGCCTATTATTCCCGTGATCCCTCCCGACAAGCCGTGTGGTGGAAGATACATGGCCAAAAACGACTCCATTCTTCGGATTCTTTCTCCCAATTATCCCGAACATTATGACAATTTAGAGGTAGGTTACGATGTTGTCCGCGCCACGATTTCGAGATCGCGTAATAAACTGTTCTCACAAATGTGTGTGTATATTAAGGGGAATGGAAATTCAATGAATAGTCGCTGAAACCCTTTGTGTCAGCAAAATTTACCCCTCAAAATGCAGGAAATAGCGTTTCAGAGGGTCGAGATTTCAAAATTGTTAAGGAGAGCATGCCCCGGACCCCCTAGTAAGGTTGCACCTTCGGCGCGAGGAATTTTGAACATTCATTATTCAATTTCCATCGCGAACTTTTAGGCGAAAATAGGCGGACGAATAATAAAATGTATCGCATAACTCAATGTGTAAACAATGTATTAATACGCGTCTCTATTAATTACTGCAGTATTGTGAGTGGTTCGTGGTGGCAAGTTCCGAAGATAAAGTTGTCACCGTCTTCATCAGGGACTTCAGTACGGAGAACGTCTTCGATGTTTTAAAAATTGGTGAAGGACTGAATTCAGATGACCCTTCTACGACGGTGCATGTCTTGTCTGGTGACGGGTACCCATGGCGTTATTGGTCGTCGTCTGGTCCTGAGATATGGCTTAGATTCACCAGCGACTTCGCCCTCACAAGGAGAGGGTTTTATTTAGAGATTGAAGAGACAGGAGTGGGTAGGTTTCGCTGTGACCCAGTTTCTACACACGCCCTCTCGCTACTTTTAAAAATTGAAAGTGAAAACGGTGTAAAGCGCCCTCAAACGATTCGTCGGCAGCACGAGTTAATATCCGTACATGCATTTTAGGATTGAACACGTATTTAAAACGAAATACATTTATGAAGTTAAAATCGCCTTTGGTACTATTTGACGATTCTTTGTGATGCTCGTTTTTGTAGCTCACCTCGCAATAGCACGCCCAAGCGATAGGACGCGGACCACATATATATTTGTTTTTAAGCCCCCTGTCACTGTTCAATGGTGTGCCGTGTCAGTCTGGCCTAATGTGTACTAAGCATAGACAAACAAATACCAATCTATCACTTTTACAGATCTGCCGACGCCAAGGCCGGAACCGGAAGTGCCTCCGGGGATAAACTTAGACTGTGGAGGAAATGTCACTGTGTACCAAGACTCGGAATACGAAGTAATAACCTCTCCTAATTACCCCGAACACTACGATAACGACTTATATTGTGTATGGAAAGTAGCCACAGAACCAGGGAGGAGATTATATATTACTGTAATTGAGTTCGAGACCGAATTTTGCCACGACTGGGTCGAGCTTGGTGGCGGTTTAGATCAGACCGATCTGTCGACAAGTCAACTGCGAGCTTCCGGTAGCGTCACCAACGACACCTACGAGACAGTCGGAGAGTACGCCTGGATCACGTTCACGACTGATTACTCAGTTACGTATCGAGGTTTTGAACTTCGAATAGAATCAATCGGTGACCCCGGTAAGTATACCGACGATGAATTTAGCCCGTCATTTATAAGTGCTTTTGTTGCAACACATTTTGCGGAAACTGGGCATCATCTGGCAAAACCTACGTACTGCCACCTAGCTTCTCCTTACATGTAAAATGCGTATTGGAGGGTTGAGCCACTAGCCTAGTTATATAAGAGGGTGGACCGCTAAACGTTTTCGTGTGAACATCATCCAATACAGTCTTTGGTGTGAATTTCGTTCCGTCCCGATTTACTAAAAAGATTGTTTCATCCAGTCATGTATGTCCATGTATGTCTTCACGTGTTCCGATCGTTGTCAATATTTGTATACGTTAAGTCATAGTTTACTTGCCAACATGAAAATCTCTGCGTGTGTTCAAAAGTTCACGCGGCAAGAACACCTCAGACATAGTCGTTGAATATATTATTATATCGCTGTGTACGTTAATTTCGCAAATATATTTATATTTGTGCAGAGGGACTGATTTGGCTCATCTTTCAAAAAAAAAAAAAAAATAAAAAAATGGTCATATCTGACTTGCCGTTGAGATATACATGTAATATGTCCTTGGTTTGTATTCAGCCTGCATGAGCTGTTATATATTTACACAGCACCATGTACAGATACTAGTGACATACTAGTACACTGTAAGTCGTGTTCAGGCCTCAGAGGTGAATTTGAGCATGGGCTGTCTGTCCTATGACACCAACTGTCAGTGACTTTGTCTTCATTATGAAAATGTCTAGCGGTTTACAGTATGTAAACACTATTAATAGAGGACATTAATTAATGGGACAGTGTTTGCACTGCTGCAAACACATTTGTAAGTATATGTGCA